TGACCATGGTAACACGAAAGGAATTTTGTTGAAGTGTGTATGGACTGTCACTACGCCTTAGTAACCGTGAAATTATAAAGCCCTAGTAAAGTCAAGCTGCTAGTTTTTTCTATGTGGCGCCAAGGACAGATGTAGACCAAGGATTTGAAATTTTTGTGGAGGTGAAATTTTGGATTGTGATAGCGTATAGGACTACGTTAATTAACCGTCAGCTTCCGTAAGAGATTGAGGTTTTGTTGATCAGCTGAGCAACTATTAGCTTCAAGGTAGACGGAGTTAGTTACTTCGGGTGTTAAAACAGTTGCCAGCCAGCCTGAGGGTAGCAAATTTGTTTTCCAGTACGCCCAAGGTTAAGTAAGGATGAGGGTAAGGAATCTCAGCGAATGGAAAATTAAAAGAAAGAATCTTTTATTATGTTAAATGTGCTTTAATGTGCAAAATTCCACACAAAGATGTATGACCCCAAACAGTAACATGTTGGCAGCTGTGTGATAATGAAGACACGCGTATTTTTTGAAGATGCGCGAGGCTTTCCTGAAACAAAATTCAAATTATCATTGCCAGTTTAAAGTACATCAAACAAAGTGGTAAGGATTTTCCTTTCATACAGCCCGAACACTAAAGAACAACATGTGTGAGTGGTTCCGCCTGCCGCTCCAGTCACCAAGCGTACTCTGACGCAAGTTGGGTTGCATACTTGAAAGGCTTACCGGAATGGTAGTTCACTTCTTCTGTTTGTCCTTGGCACCGCTGCTAGCGTTCTTGGCACCGCATGCACAGCTGTTGCATTTGCAACCACTGCCACATTTGCATCCGGAACCCTGGCAGCCTAGGCACAAATTATCATATATTATGATAAGCGCTATAAATTATGTTGTGTGCAAGAATTAGTGTGTGTCAGCAGAGCACATCATTTTTCCAACTGAACTGTAGAAATACTGAGTAGGCCGTATCCAAATGCGGATGCAGTTTTCGATATTACAGATTTATTTGTAAAAATAATTGGTCACTATTCACAAAAATTAATAAGATACCAGCCTTTGTTCTCCAAATTTCCTAAAATTTTGAACCAATAAGGACACTCGCTGCCTAAATTTTCTTATATAAATTTATGTACTTTTTACAATAAAAAAACATAAGAGCCAAGTAAATTAACCTTTTAAGTCACTTGATAACTATGCGTTTCTTATGATTCTCAGTATAAACAGCGATTATATCTTTAAACAGCGTCAACCAATCGATCATTGCTATAGAGACGCGTTTTTTTCCTTCAGGTACGAGCTGAATTTTTATGTTCTTCGGAAAGTTTTTGTTCGCGTGGTTCTCGACTCTTCGTATGCCACAATAAAGCAACCAAAAACTGTTCGATTTTTAACATCCCAGCCTGAGGTAGTAACCCTGAACTCTAGTCAGACCTTCTGCCACGGGGGGGAACAAAAGAAATGCGTATTTCAGTGATAAAATTGCCCGTTTTAAGACTTCGTTTCACTCACCCTTTCCGCTTCCACAAC